GAGGCTAAGGGTGACCCTGTTGTGATAGAGACCGGTATATAGTTAGCATGATAAAGAAATTTGCATTTGAAAAGCAGCAACATCTGTACCATAACAAGGTCACCCTTAGCCTCGCTCCTGTTCAAAGGCTTGGCCACCAAGCCCACAAGTGTAAAAAGGACTATTGAGCTAACAAGCCAATTGGGAGCAGGTCATCAAATTAATTCGACACAAAACCGTAAGATGATAAATCAATGGGTTTGTTAGCTCAATCGATAAAGCGCTGCGCTAGTACCGCAGAGGTCAGTGGTTCGAATCACGTACAGGCTTGAATTTTTCAGGTGTGATTTTCACTATTGCTTAAATAATGCTTTACTGCGAGGATCGTGCACATATACGTTTCATAACCGCAGTTTAGATATATGTATTTCATATATTCTTTGTGTTTAATAAACACAGTGAACACTATCCGATAATACACCGAATGCAAATATGGCGTCCAATTTGAGTTGCCATTGTTCTGGACTGACTAGCCTCTCACACATGTAATAATCTTTTGTATCTCCACGTGAAGACGAGGCTAGTCAGTCCAGAACAATCGAAATTCAAATTGGACGCCATATTTGCATTCGGTGTATGGAGTGATTTTTAATTAAAAGTTGATATAAATCTGGGACTGCTTTAGCTTTGCCGTACTACGCTTTGTGATTGGTCCAGAAAACCTGCGCCATTTTTTCAACCAATCAGATTCAAAGATTCTCTTGCGTTTTCCCGCGCCTAAGCAGTTCGTTTGTTTTCAGTTTGATTTCCATTTGGCGCTTTGTGACATTTTCCTTTTTGATAATCGGCTGTGGTGATTTTTTTGTTTTGTGTAACGACTCTTGGTCGAAGAGAGCTTTCAGATCAATGGACGCTAAGCATGCACAAGAAGAACGATGGCTGTGTAACAAAACACTGATCTGGAATTGCTAAATCTCCACCTAAGAATTTCACTGCCATAGTGCAAATTGTTGGGGTAACGATAAGTTCAGTCTAGAAGGTTCTTATCGAGAAGATGTTTCAAGGCACCGAAGGTGACAGGGTCGATGGAAAGACTTTTCTATGCCGGTCCAAGTTACTTACCTTCTCACTTCTTCGAGATACGGTCAACATTGACGTCGTTTCAACCAGACCCAACTGAGGAAGCATTAGAGTTGCCTACAGATCGATCTGAATGTATTCCTTTATTTTCTTTACAACACTGAACTAGACATAACAATCCATGATGGTGTTCATGATGCTTTGATTCATCTAAGGAAGTTGTCCCAAAATTTGAATTTCGACTGAAGATGTATTAGGGAATCGTTTGAGAGAGGGAGATTATTTCCTCGAATAATAAAAATAAGCGAGCAACAATATATTTTCTCTCAACTTGTAAGGCAAGGAACTTGGCTAAGAAAAGCAAAGAAACGTGGGGACGTACATACGAGTTATCAAAGCCAAGAAAGGCCATCTTGCTCAGTATTGTTTTATGGATTCATTTTCGTTGAACGTATTTAGAACTTCCTCACGAAAACCTCTCTAAAGGACCAATATTAACTTCCTTAAACTGATCTCCTTCTCAAAACGACGTGAAAAAAATTAACGAAGTCAAGAATCAATAATCAACTCAGGCCTCATATAATTCTCCCTTTCAGGAACGACTTGTTTTTACAGTCTAACCTCTTCCTTACAAAAACATCCTGTTGATCTGTTCATGCAAATATCTCTTTTTCCATTACGGCTGGCTATCTTTATTTCCAATTTCCTCTTCAGTTATGGAGACCCCCTAAATTGATGTTGCCATCGTTCAGTACAGTTTCTCGATGGCAAAAGATTCTTTTAAAGTTTTTTCGATAATTAGAGCTCTGGAAGGCGTAAAGAAACGGATTTAGACATGAGTTGAAGTACATAATAAAGCCAAGAACTCGATAAATTCTGTATAAAGTCTCGTACTTATTTGAAATGTTTTCATGTTCTGAATAAGCTACATAGATCTCAAACACCAAGTATGGCGTGTTGCAAATTATGTACGCTGCTGTAACTGTAAACGAAACAATCGCTAGAGTACGTTTTGCCCTCAAATTCTCTCTTTTCGTGCCTGCCGATGAGGTGGAGCAGACCGTGTTAGTAATAAAGATGCCTTTAAGGATCTGGATATGGCAATAGAACAAACAGATGGAACATATGATCAAAAAAACTATGGTCATTGTTATCTGCCATTTTATGGTCGAAACTCTTTCAATTGTCCACGGATCCAAACATCTTTGTAACCGTTGATCGTATTCGCTGTAGATAAAACCAGGCAAGGAGAATAGTATTGCAAAAATCCAGATAAATGCTACGCGATAACCAATGTATTTCTGACGTCGATGCAAATTGATTTCCAAAGGCCTGAGAACAGCGAGGTAGCGCTCAATTGCTAAAACTAATAAGCTGGAAAGCTTGACAGAAACTGAAATACAGGTCATCGCATATCCAGAGAAAAACTTGCAAATATATGTGCCCAATTTTCCACTTGGATGCTTGGCAGAGAGGCTAAATGCTATGGGAATAATACACCAAACCAAAGAGATTATATCAGCAACAGCCACATTTGTCAGCAAGAAGTTTGCGGTCGTATGCATAGAGATTGTTTTCCAAGCGATTATCACAACCAAGCCGTTGCCCATTACACCAATAACAACCACAATCGCATACAGGATCAATATGGCGATATTAAACGGTGACAGCGAGGTATAGAGGCCTGTCACATCAATTGAAGAGTTAGTCATGTTGTTTTTTGTAAGATCACAGCTTTAGAACCAGAAATTGAGAGTGATCAACTACCTCAGGGACGATTTCATTGACGTCATCTATTGATAATCAATTTATGCAAGGTCGTAAGGCTGTTAAAGAAGTTCTTTCCCTTTCACTTTTTAGCACTATAATATCATTCTAAAAATAGGGTATTTATGCAGATCTCATTATTAAATATAGGCCTTCATAAGTGCAATACATCTGATTAAAATTTATTTATGACTTTTGCTTGAGAAAAAAATGAGGGTGAAATTTTATATAAGTATGGAAAAAATATTAAATAATTTTGCTCAAGATAGACACGTCCACTGAGAGGCGAAACGAACATCTTTTTTTAAGCCAATAATCGAAAGTTGTAAGTGAAGGGTGTCGGAGTAAATGCTTAAATGGTGCTATAAAATAAAATAAATTAAATAACACGTCGTTTGCATTGAACAAGAAAATAGAAAACTGTTTATATTCTCTTGTATTGTAGCGTTTATTTCAGTTTCATATTTTGTTAATATCATGTTTTTCTTGACAGAGACTCTAGGCCTTTTATCGTGCTTACTACTTTTAATGAGTTTCGTAATTTTTGTAACTTTTCATTATTTATGTCAATGTTTTTTACTTCTTAAAGAAGAATAAAGTTGTGTTTTTGTGCGATTCATGGTTATATTTTCTCCACTTTTGTGGTGGAACAGTTTTGACTTCTATATTCAATTGCTAAGGTTTTTCAAATGAGTAGGTAAGAACATCATTTGTTTTCGTTGCACTTTTGAAACACGTTTTACATCATTAAACACAAACCCAGCGTCTTCTAGGGCACATGTTATATTTTGTAAAAGTACACTAGTATTCAAGATTAACAAGGCTGAATATTTTAGGTCTATAGGTGGAATCCTTGTGAGTCTGTTTTTTTAAATCTCTCGAAATCCAACGTTACATAGATTCCTTTCTTAGGTAAGCTTAATCGATTACGATTAGGTATCGATTAGGTAAGCCTAATCGATACCGGATACTAGTGTGGCATCCAAATGAAATACAACGTTACATAGATTCCTTTCTTAGGTAAGCCTAATCGATACCGATTAGGTATCGATTAGCTAAGCCTAATCGATACCGGATACTAGTGTGACATCCAAATGAACGGAGACGGTAACATGTTCTTGCGAGTAGCGAACCCTTCAATTTGAAATGATGTCTTTGTAAAACACCGTTTTTACTTTCTGATGTTATCACACGTTGAGACAAAGCCACAACTATCAGAACTCTAACACGACGCGCGCAA